CCCCCCGCCCCCCAAGCCCAAAACCAATTCCATAGATAGTTACTGAGTACCTATTAGGGAATATAAAAATGGGTAAGGCAGATGATCTCTAAGGTCTCTTCTTCCAGCACTAAATTCAAAGTGCTTTTCCTTAACTGTGAGGGAGGTATTACAAAAATTACAATTTCCTTTTACAAATAAGGAAAATGAGACTTATATAGGTTTTGCCTTGACCACGGCTGCATTAATAACCATTATATGTGATTTGAACCCAAGTCTGAGGAATGAATTACTAAAAAAGCATTAAGTGCTTACTATGTGCCAGCATTGTGCTACATGATGGGGATACAAATACAAGAAAGCAAGACAATTCCTGCTTCAAGGTCTTTGATGTTTTAATGAGGAAAAGACAACTCATATGAGAGGGGGTGTCCACAGAGGAGTGTTTTTGTTAGCGTTGATTTCATTACTATTTTCAGAATCAGAATTAGAAAGGGGACGGAAAGAGTACTCTGCAGCAGCAAGGCATGAAAATAGAGAAGTAGTATGTTAGTTCTGGATTTGGGCTTGATAAGGTAAATACTCAGCAACAAAAGCCAAGGATTCTAGGGAGGAGCTTGGGGCCTTGAGTCCCAGGGTAGAGGTTAAAACACAGAAGCATGGCATGAAAGTGGTGTGGTGGATTGAGTTGAAGCTAGATACAGTGAATGGCACTAACCAGAAGCCAAGGGTGTCAGAAGACTAAGTCCAATATTATTTGTACTGTACTATGTTCTAGAAGGAAGACATAGGGAAGACAATGAAGGTTCTGAAAACCAACAAACAAAAAAAAAAGGCAAGCAAAGGGATAAAGGAGGTTCATATTTTTTAGTTAAATAATCAAGTTAAGAAATGTTTAAAATATTACTTTCATGCATCCTTTCAACCTAGCACTGCAAAAAGGCACAAATCTACTTGCTAAAAAAGTTTTTAAAGTGACAAAACATTATTATACTTAGGCATAAGAGGTGCCTTTTCTCATCTCTAAATCACAGTTTAGAATAAAATTAGAATAAAAATGAGAAATAACTTTTCACTTACACATTGGTAAACACTGATGAAGCAGCTTTAAATCTAAAGGAACTTCATATAATACCTCATATTATACATTTGACTATATTGGTAGTAAATCTTTTAACCCTGAAACTCTATAATTAACTGAAACGTGAATGTGTTTATAGCAGAGTCAGTATTATATATTACCTACAGATTCATTAAATAAAAAAATTCTGGTAGCATTTTTACCTCTAACAGAATGAATCTAAAAATACAAAAAGTAGTAGATCAGAGTTTAACCAAAGGCTACAGTACTTCTTGGTGTCTTCTTTTACCACCCATCCCTTACTGATGTGCTCATGTTATTAGCACTTAGTAATGGTGATTCATATCAAGATTCTCCACATTCTAGCCTAAGGTTAGATCATTTATACTCTAACCTGCCATGTACTATGTGAAAGCATTTACTACCTCTGGAGTTTTATAGCTTTACCAGCAACATTCCTTTGCTGCTAAAGTGCTCTGTTTCCTCTTTATATGATCAGGTAAAGCACTATATTAACTTTTACTGTGAGTTCCAAATTGTTAAAAAAACAAACAAAAAGAATTTTTTTTCAAAGTTCAATCATGCTTATTCTACTGGTTTCATCAATCACCATATGCCAAAGCAACAGCTGGAATGTTGACAGAAATAAGAAAATACATTTTATGTACTGATACCATTATCAATCAATTAATAAGTATTTATTAAGCAACTACTATGTACCAGGCACTGTTCTAAGTGCTGGGGATACAAAGACAAAGAATTATACAATCTCCAGTCTGAAGGATCTTACATTCAACCAGGGGAGAAAACAAATACATTATATGTATATATAGAATAAAACATAAAAGAACAGTTATAAATAAATACAAGTAGTTAAATAAAAGAAAGCACAGGAGGGAAGACATGAAAAGTTGAAGAATCAGGAAAAGACTTCCTGAAGAAGGTAGTAGCTAAACTACATCCAGAAAGAAGGGATTTTATGAGGTAGAGGTAAGGGTGGTACAATGGTATCACACTCAAATAGAAACTGATTCCTAAAGGTTGATAGTTGACTTAGAAAGCCACAAATGAACATTATCTATGTTCTATTTGGGGGGAAGGGGATAGCAGTTAGGTGGCACAGTGGATAGAGCACCTGGCCTGGATTATGGAAGACTCATAGTCCTCAGGTCAATCTGATGTAAGTCACTTACTAGCTATCTGACCCTGGGCAAGTCATTTAATCCTGTTTGCCTCAGTTTCTCACATGTAAAATGAGCTGGAGAAGAAATGGCAAACCACTCCAGTACCTTTGCCAAGAAAACACCAAAAGAGGTCACAAAAAGTTGAACATGACTGAGACAACAAAAATATTGAATTTGTATTCATTCTGTTAAATGTTTCCCAATAATCTGGTTCTGGCTGAACTTAGAAGTTTTGCTAGCCACTTGCAGCCCTTGAATTTGCCACCTCTGACTTTGAGTTGGGAAGAGCTGGGTTAAAATCCTTTCTCAGACACTAGCTCTGGAATGTTGAGTAATTAAAAAACTCTTTCATTCAGTTTCTTGATCTGTAAAGTGAAGAAATTGGACGTGATGGCCTCCCAGGTCCCTCTCAGCTCTGTATCTGCGATCTTATAATGTCTTTCAGGTATGAGGACAGCCAATGCAAAGAGACAGAGATGGGAAATGGTCCTCTGAATGAGGAACAGAAAGAATGCCGCCATATTTGGTGAACTGCAAGATGATGAAGGGGAATGATATATACAATGAGGCTGGAAGCAATAAGCTGACAAGTTGTATATGGCTTTAAAAGTTAAGTGGAGTTTATTTGGGGGGGGGAAGGGGTAAACAGGGAGCCACTGGAGTTTAGAATGACACAGTCAGGACTGTGCTTAAGGAAAATCACTTTGACAGCAGTATGGAGGATGGACTGAAATGGAGAGAAACAAGGCAAGCAGACCAAATAGGAGGTCACTGCCATATCTAGTCAAGAGGTGGACTGTGTGAGCAGAGAGGAGCCATATTAACAAAATGTTATGGAGGCAGAGTGGAAACTTTTAAGAAAGTAATAAAATCAGATAATCCTGAAAGTCAAATATAAATGATTTTAATGGAGCTCTTGGTTTCTTTCTTTGTTTTCCCCCATTCTGATACCACTTCTAATTATTTTGTTGCTCTTACATTTGGGTCCTGCATATTGAACTTACTTGTCAGATTTGTGTTTCCCAGACTACAGGCCATTCGCCTACAGTTGGTAGCAAACAGTGGATACTCACCCATACCCACTCATCATCATGGATATGGCCTATGCTCAATTCCAGTCAACTTCCTTCTCAGGACCCACTGAGGCATGGATGATTCTACACCCCCTGACAGCCTGAAGAAGCCACAGAAGCTGACACCTTGGTCCCTCTCCCAAATAAATTTGGGACCCAGCTCTCTGAGGGGGGAATGATGGAGTCTTAACTACTTCCCCCAATATCCCGACTTTCTCATATGCCTCACTAGAACAGCAGCCACATCCACAACCACATCCATCTAGTTTTAGACAAAACCACAACAGCCAGCCAATAAAAAAGCAGCACCAACAGGATACTGAGCAGGATGTTTGACCACTAAATCACAAAAGGTCCTTTTCCTAAGTGGACGCCTGCACAGTAATAGCAAAGAACTGCCCTTAGGTGAACTTATGATGTAGAGAGGCTTATTATAATTACACTACATTAATAACCCTCCCTCCTCCCTGGGCTTTTCTGTATGCATTCTGGGTAGCTGCACGCTCAGTTTAACCAAGGCTAGGGTCCCCTTCCCATATTAGTAAATCCCTCCCATACTTTAATATACATATCTTCTATCATGCTAATGACACCATTAGCTCACCCCATCGTGCTTCGCTAAGCTGCTGGCTCCTCCAAGGAGCCTAGCCCACTGAGAGTGTAATCCTCAATAAATGCCTTTGCTCTAGAGTTGGAGATGGTCTTAGTCTGTAAATCTTTCAAGATGACCCTGCAACACACCCTGACACCTCAATAAACTTGCTGGATATGTGGAGTGAGTTGAATGTGAAGTCAAAATTACAAAGCTGGGAAACTAGGTAAATAATGCCTTAGAAAGAAAAAGGAAAGTTGGAAGAGGGATACTTTTTTTGCTGAAAGGTGGGGGGGTGATGGATAATGAATTCTGTTTTAGATATTTAGATACAGTTCCCCACCCCTGCTCTAGAACATTCAGGTTTTTTTTTAAAATAAATTATTTCTAGTTTTCAACAATCACTTCCATGAGGCTTTTGAGTGGACACCTGCACGTTTTGGTTCTGGTGCCATGCCTGGGTGAAAACTCCCATTTATATAAGCTTTTATTTCATTGACAGCTAATATTTAAACCACCTCGGCATAACGAATTTCACTTGCACCAAACGGCCTTGGCTCATACTGAAGCACTGACACAACTTTTTTTTCCTTTCAACTTCATCACGTTCATACGCACAGACACAACGCGTGTTCCTTTCACCCTCACCACACTCAGTACGTGTACACAGGTACACACACCCCGCCCCCCTTGACCAGCCCGACGCCACCTGCGTCCCTCATAGCTTCCCCCACCCCGAGCTGCGCCGCATTTGTATTCACTTCAGAGCACAGACAGCGGGCAGGGGAAGAGAGCGTGAACGCGCCCATGGCCCACTGGGTTCCAGCCCAGGCAGGGATAACGGGCCCGCGGGCGGGCCGGGCACGCCCGGCCGACGTGGGCAAAAGGGACGGCGCGCGCGACCACCTACGCAGAAGCCAAGAAGGCACCCCTCGAAGGCGAGGCGTCGACGGACTCGGGGGCGTCGGGGGAAGCGGTCCGGGACACGGACGGGTTATTCTCAAGCTTCCAATAGAACCATCCCCTTTTGTTGGGCCCCAAGTCTGCCTGCGAACTGGAGAGGAGAGGAAGGAATAGGGGCGGGGACTCACCGTCCATGGTCTCCCTCACCGCGTTCAGGTTGGCCGCCGCGGCCGCAGCACCACTATTACTCCCTGCCATGGCGACTGCCCGCCAAGGCGGGGAAAAGCGGGAGAACTGTTTGACCCGGAACAGGAGGGAGTGTCCTGTTCTCCCGGGCAATCAGGCTGCACGTTGCCTCCTCACGCCGGAGGGAGGCTCCGCCCCTCGCGCTGTGTTTCTGCCGACGTGAAGAGCTCCATAAAGTTGCGTGCATTTGAATCCCGGGGCCTGTTACTATAGGGGCATGAAGCGCGAAGTTTCCGTTCGAATTTCCTACGGGGTTGCGGTCTGATTGGCCAGTTCGAGGACGGCTCGGAGCCGCGATTGGCTGAGCTCCCGGAAGCCCCGAGCCCTGGTTGGCCCTGGACATCTCGGAAGCTGGGAGTTAAAGAGTAGCTGGCTCTGCTGCCGCGGCGGCTGCGGGACCCGGGGGAGCCACCTGCATTCTCGATCTCTGCCGATCCCGACCGTGAGGGTAGTGGCTTCTCACCCACGGCCTCTAGGTACATGTGTTGGAGGGGGCTCCCCCTTCAATTCCCTCATTGTAACGAGATAGACGTTTTCCCGGGCTCCTTGCTCGCCGGTCCGCCCGCGCCGAGTGTGCCTCAGGAGGATAGGGGGGAACAGGGGGATGTGGAGATCTCTGCGAACTTCCTCTTTCCGGCAGTCCGAGGCTGCCTTTGTGGGACTTCTAGGCAGGAGCATTTCTCCTTGGGGGCACCTGGGTGTCCAACCATCCCTCCTCTGGCTTGCGTCCTGTCATGGAAGCGTTTGACATCTCCTCCCCTCCCGGGGAACGTGAGCCTGTAAATGGCCCAGCCCTGGCCGAGCATGTTGTTTTGGAGTAATCTTTTGACCCTGAGTTGGGATAGAGAGAAAAAAGAAGGTTGGTTGAGGTGAGGCTCTGGTATAATCGTGCTTGGACTTTATTTAGGTGGGTTAAGAGGGTGTATGCTTTCCCTCTGTTGGTTATCTCCACCTTGTCCTGTGTATGTATCTTGTTTTGTACGTAGTTGTTTGCATGTGTTCTGTCCCATTGGACTGTGAGCTCCGTCTGAGCAGGGACTCTCTTCTGCCCTTCTTTGTATCCCCATTGCTTAGCACAGTGCTTGGCACACAGCTCCTGAATAAAATATTCATTGCTTGACGGGGCCGGGTTTGCTAGAATACCCCAGGGGTCTTATCGATCGAGGTAAGCTGTGTAAAGAGAAGTTTAAACTGATTGATTAGGCATGTGGCAAAGTTCCTCATTGGGGAACTAGATTTTTTTTCTCATGACATGCGGCCATCCTCTTTTGTTAGAAGCCACATTTCTTTTTTTTTTTCTTTTCTTTTTTTTACTATTATAGTCATTTCTTCTTGTTTTGTAAAGGATTGTCGTGAATGCCATCGTCAAATTTTTAATAACAGGAAAACTGATGATCTCATGATTTTCTTTCAGTTTTATCACTGTGCTATGGGAGATGTCAAAGAAACCAAAATGCAAATAACACCGGAAACTCCAGGAAAGATCACTGTCCTAAATCCTTTTGAAAGTCCAAGTGATTATTCAAGTCTGCAAGAGCAAATCGTTTCCAGTCCTTCTGCTTTTAAATCAACAAAGTCTTCATCAGTAAGAACTGAATCATATAACTTATAAAAGTATACATTCAAATAAAAATATTTCCTCACTACAGGTAACAGTGTGACACTTAGGGAACATGTTTATTAATAATAATAATAATATTAATAACAATAATAGCAATATCTTAGACTCACATAGTGCTTTATAGCTCCAAGCACTTTGTCTCACAGCAGCCTTCTGTCAGCAGCATATTATCTCCATTTTAAGATGAGTTCGTTGAACTTAGACTTGCCTGTAGTCTCATGTTTAGTAAGTGCCAAAACTAAGAGTAATACTTCTATCTTCTTCTTTCAAAGTCAGTGCACATCTAAATCTTCATTGTTGCCTCCTGTGTTGGAGTTTGTGAAAAATATGAAGTTATTTAAGTTTCCTAAGTTTCTTCAGTTTTAGCCAAAAGTAGTATTTTGGTAAAGCCTTGTGGATGGCCTAAAAAAAATAAAAATTCCTTGGAGTTCATCTATTAACTAGACAAATTTTATCGGAAAGTCTTAACATCACAGATTCTATCGTGATAATGCATTTAATTAAAATAGATTGGGATTATAATTTTTATTGAATTTCTGGTAAAGTTCTCTGATGTCATCTTACTATGAAAGTAACTCTAAATTCTTAATAATTTTACCAACAGCATAAATTCTGGCAGGTTTCACTAAGGTAGAAAGTCTTTAAGTACTGTTTCAGTGCTCTTCAGGATCCAGTATAGAGGAGTTTATCAAGAAGAGGTTGACCGTTAAACGATGAATTATTTGTCTATGCTGGCCTATGAAACAGATAATTCAGTGGATTTGTGATCTCATCATTGTAGGCTTTCCTTTCAGAAATCTATCTTGTAACCCATCTATGTGCCCTCATCCTGTAAAATTGGACCACATCCTCATGTAAATTCTTAATGAGTACCCCATCCAAACAGAATCTTTTTCTACATCTCTTGAAGGTGGGTCAATACAATGAAAGACAAAGGCTGTCCTTCATATATGGCTGCCCACTATTTAGTGTGGGTTCCATGCTGGAGTTGGAATCTGGAAACCTGAGTTCAAAACCTGCCTCTGATACTTCTTTGCTTTTTGACCATAGTTAAGTCACATTTTCCTTTTCCCTCATGAAAGTGAGACTTGAAAGAATCTATGTAAATTGCATTGCAAACTTTAAAGCATTATATAGATGTCAGCTCTTAGGTGAGGTAGCATGGTATAGGGGATGGAGTACTTGACCTGGACTCAGAAAACCTAGGTTTAAATACTGCCCCTTGACATTTAATGGCTGTCTGTGTGTTCCTGGACAAGTCACAGTGAGCCTAAGGTTTGTTTCTTCAGCTTTAAAGTGGGGTAATAATACATGTAATAACTACCTTACCTCGTCCTGAAGTTCTAATTTGGTAATGTATGTAAAGTGCTTTACAGACTTCAAAGTACTGCACAAATTTTAGTTATTATTATCATTATTTCTCTGTTTTGCTACATGATTTTACCCGTCTTTTCTGTGATCCATTTCACTGACATCCTCTGTACCTCTTCTTTCATACAGTTCTTCTTTGTTCATATGTTTTGTTTAAATCCATTTTGCAGATGAGGAAACTGAGACATACAGAGAAGTTATCGAATTTGTTTAAAGTAACATAACTAATGTGGGCAGCTAGGTGGTGCAGTGGATAGAGTCAGGCCTAAAGTCAGGAACACCTGAATTCAGATCCAGCATCAGACACTTAATACCTGTGTGACCCTGGACAGTCACTTAACCCTGTTTACCTCATTTTCCTCATCTGTAAAATGAAATGGAGAAGGAAATAGCAAACTGCTCCAGTAGCTTAGCCAAGAAAACCCCAAATGGTGTTGTGAAGAGTCAGACATGACTAAACAACGACATATAACTAATGTAACATGGCAGGGATTTGAACCTAGGTCTTCTGACTCCCATTCCAGTGGGCTTTACATTATATCCACAATTTTTTCTTAGCATATTTCTTTGTTGGGAAAAGTCAGTCCCGATATTCCTACAATCCCATTAAATTGTGAGCTTCTTCAGGACAGAAACTCTTTTACTATTCTTTGTACCCTCAGCACTTAGCACAATGCTTGGCATATAGCAAGCACTTAAATTCTTATTTACTGAATGGTTGGTATTAATTTATTCAAAATCATCATTGTGGGATGTTTGATTATTTAAAATAGAAATTTAGTCAGTCAATTTGTCCATATTAAATTACCTTTTATTCTTAATTTTAGTAGTTTTTATTCTAATTTTGGAAAGGCAAAATATCATAGTAGATGTTAAGGAAGTTTAAGGAGACCTAGGTTCAAGTCCAGCATGAGGTGTTACTAGCTGTGGGCTGATATTTTAACCTCTCAGTGCCCTAGGCAACTTTCTAAAACTAGTTACTGATAAATTGCTCCTCTAGGTTGATGGAGAGAGTTTCCGTACTAGGTTTCCCTATTCTGATCAAATCATAGCATTGCCCTGCTTCTTGTACCCTTTTGCCTCCCCCCTTCCCCCAAGAAAAAACCCTAATTTTCATGTTTCATTAGCTTTAGAGAACATTGTGTTAAATGTTGGTTGCTCCTAGTCTTCCTAAAGGTGACTTATTAGTTTTTTGATAGAATAGTATACATTGTGCAGCTCCCTGTTTTATTCATAAATGTTTTTTTTTTAAAGACTCCGGGGAAATTTAGATGGTCTATTGATCAACTTGCTGTCATAAATCCTGTGGAAATAGACCCAGAAGACATTCATCGTCAAGCTTTATATTTAAGTCATTCTAGGTAAGTTTTCCTATACTTGCATTGAAGTGTAATAACCTGCTCTTGAAAAGTAGTGGAAAGCCTTTAAATTGATATAAAGACGGCAAGGTAGAGTAATTTGTGCAGATTCACCATGCCAGATACAGATGTATTACAGGGATGTTTCACTTTCAGAGAGTATAGATTGTTCCAATTCTGAATGGGAATAATTCTCCTATGACGATAAACTTAGTCTTGCAGATTTTTAGAAGTCACGTGATTTTTCTTACAGTTGTAGGAAAGGATGTATTAGAATTCTTTACTCCACACACATCTCGTTAAGCTATCCATTACTGGTTTTAAGAAGTAATTAGGAAAATACTTATTTCTCAGAATGTGAGGGAAGCAGAGCACTGGTTTGACTGCTTCCCATAAATAGGAAATAGGAAACAAATACTTTAAGAACTTCCCAAAGAGTATGGAAACTTTGGCCTGAGGGTAGCTAGTGACAACCCCAAATGGAAATCTTTATTTACATATATATTCAGTGTGGCATAGGGAAAAGTATACTGAACATAGGCTCAAGAGACCCGGGTTTTCATCTTGGCTCTCATGCTTGCTATGTAACAGTAGGTAAGTCCTATTAAGTCTCAGTTTCCTCATCCCTAAAATGATGATGATAATATTTGTACTATCTACTTCACAGGATTGTTGTAAAGAAAGGACTTTGTAAATATTAAAATGTTATG